GTGTTCAAGAACGCGCCTGGCACTGGCCGCAAAGGTGTGGTCGGAGGAAACGACATGTCGAGCAACAATCAACAGCTTGACCACGAGCTGAATCCTGCGCAAGGCCAGCGATTAGGCTCCACCGATCGCCCAGTGTTGGTTTGGCTGGGTTGAGGAGCGATGCGAGAAAATGGGCTCAACGCGATATTATACCATTTAAAAATGTCGACAGACTCGGTCCGCGCCAGCGTCTGGTGAGATGTCGCGTCGCAATCGCGTTTTCTTGGGATTGCTAAGGACGAGCGATCGAAGGGGCCCAGCAATGTCTTACGAGCGGAGTAGAGGAAGTAATGTGTGATGTTGACGGCGACGATACATACTTTCGAGAAATGACGGACGGCAGAGCTGCGGAGGCTGGCAATTGAAGCTTGGATTTTTTTGCGACAAGGGTGATTGTGGCGCTAGACCCAATAGGGCCGCACGCAGCCACAGCTCTCAGGTCAACATTGCTTTCAATGCAGATGCCCAATTGTTCAACCAGGCGATTAGCCTTTGTTTACTGTACAAAAGTATTCGTCTTGTCAGATCTATGAACTTCTGACCGTGATTGATTTTTTTCGTTCTTAGCAAATTCATAGTTTCCGCCAATAACGTGTGCATTACAACGCAAAAGTCACATAATGACCCTTCTGCATACCACGTCTATCTTTTGTGTTTATCTTATTTACTTTTCTAATTCATCACGTCCGCTAGACAAGTAATTTTTTGACTTCATCGGCCAATTGTTCCAATGATACCAGCTTTCCATTGTCCTTTTCCGCAGGCTTGTCATCTTCCTTGTTTTCTCCTTGTCCAAGGACTTTGACTCTGACCTGACCGGCATCGAGCTCCGTCTGACCCAAAATGACACCCAGAGGTACACCTTCAGCGGCCTTAAACTGCTGCGGCAGCTTAGGCTTGACCTTGGGGGAGAACTCTGCGCGAATTCCGGCGCTCCATAATCTCTGAGCCACTGACATGCGTTCAAGAAGGAGACCATTGGACGACTTGTCTCCAAAAGCCATGACATACACGTCCACATCTCGCCTTTGCTTGATACCATCCTTTCTGCGTCGTGCCTCCAAGATGGTGAAGATACGGTCTACACCAAAAGAAATACCCACGCAAGGGATCTGTCGCTTGCCGTACATGCCCACCAGGTTGTCGTAACGGCCGCCGGCAGCAATGCTGCCAACTTGGCTAGCAGGATCATCCTTCTTTGACTTCTTGCCGGAACCTTGGCCCTCTTCAGCCTTAGGAGGCAGATTGATAACTTCGTAAATCAAGCCAGTGTAATAGTCGAGACCTCGGGCAAGAGAGAGATCAAAGGAGATTTTATCGGCAATGCCGAAAGCCTCAACATATGAAGCAAGTAGCGTCATGTCATCAAGACCACGCTTGACTTGCTCATTCGCGACCAGCTCTTCCCTTGACTTGAGGAGCTTTAGCGTTTCGGAAATTGTTCCCGCATGACGGACATACTCGCCAATTCGGTCAGCAACCTCGTTAGCAAGGCCCTTCTCTTCCACCATCTCCTTCTTTACATCTTCCCAGGACATCTTGTCCAGCTTATCGACAGCCGAGCTAATCGTCCTAATCTTTTCGGGGGTGACGCCTGCCACGGCGAACATGCCGTCAAGAACTTGTCTGTGGTTGAGCTTGATAGTGACTCCAAGCTGTAGAGCTTCGAAGACCTCAACGATAATCCGCAGGACCTCAGCATCAGGAATCATGGGATCGTATACGCCAGCGATATCGAAATCGCACTGGTGGAACTCGCGATATCGTCCCCGGGCAATGGCGGGCTGGTCTCTTCGGTAGACCTTGGCAATGTGGTAGCGCTTTACAGCTTGGATGTTGTTCATGGCGAGCCAACGGGCGAAGGGAACTGTCAAGTCGTATCTAAGAGAGCAGAGCTCGCCGCCCTGATCTTGCAGGTCGTAGATGAGCTTGGAATCCTCGCCATATTCTGCAGGTGGTTAGACATTTCCAATTTTACAGCGTAGGCTCCAGGGAAACTCACTTCCGGCAAGGATCTCTTTCAACTCAAACACGGGAGTATCCAGAGGAGTGCCACCATGCTTTTTGAAAACATCAGTGATCATTTTGCTAAAGCGCTCAGTTAGCCATCCCGCCTTGCTCCAATTCACGTCAGAAGAATCCCATGTCCTCACGACAGCACATACAAGACTTCCTCACGCAGCAACATATCCTGCCCACTCCAGTCCCGCGTACCCTTAGGGGTCTTCAGCGTAACCGCCGGGGCTTTCGGCACCTTGGCGTCTGGGGTCGCCATGTCGTCGTCGTCGTGCGCAAAGGTTGCGGCAAATTGTCGAGGAAGAGAGGGCGCCGTAAAACTGCGAACGAACAATGTGCCAAGTGGATGGCCCGTTCGCACAACTGGTATTCGGTATATGCGTCTGTTCAGCGCAGATAGCATGCCGGAGCCAACACACTCGTATAGGAGAGAAAAGAGTGTTTAGTGTGTGGTTTGTGGCTCCTTGAGTCATCCATCTGCAGCCAAACGCCGCTTGAGTGGGGTGGGGAGCAGTTGGGTCGCGACAAAGAAAGAATGAGTGAGCCCGTTTCGGAGGACAATACGGGCAGCTTTTTTTTTTTCAAGCTCAGGATACTTAGCACCAGTCTGCGAAATCGGCTCCACGGTTAATCCGGATTCGCTGCTCCGTGTCACAGCACGATTCCTCAGAAACATACGGACTATATTATGAGGGGCATTAACCCTTGATTGAAAGAGATTTGGTGATTGTATAAGTAATTGAGTCTACTATAGAAACATTCACTCGTACCTTCAGCCAACCTCCAATCCATCACCCATCCGTTTTGGCTCCATCTTGTCCATGCCCAACCCACTGATGTTGTTACATGGGACCTATACTACCCATCCGATGTAATTTTAATTTTTTCGCCATGATATTACTCACCTCAATACTACTTGTGTGCATTTTCTATACGCATCCTCATCCAGTCGTATACGCCAGAATCTCCAAAGCTGGCAAACCTGCCAGCTTTAAGCCCAACCATAAAGCATTTACTGCTTCTTAGCCTCGCGAGCCTGCTTGCGAAGGGCCCGTCTCCGGATATCCAAGTGCATCTTCTTGTTGTACCAGATAGTGACGGGGCTGTTGACGCCAGGAATGTTCTCAATCAACCACAGCATGAAAGAGTGGCTCCACCAAGGAGTGTAAGTGTTGGGGGCAGTCTGATAACCACCAAGGCCAACTTTGCCAAGAGCAGCCTTGACAAAATTACGGGCGTTGGGAATCAGGAGGCTAGGGCGACGGACCTTGCTCATGGCAGTAGTAACTAGGTGGCTGAGAACCAGATAGACGTCTACGTGGTCATCAGCAAGTTCAGACGAAAGAGCATTGCTCCATTGCTGAAGGAAGGCCTTGCTGCCGGAGTAGGTAGCCAGGTAAGGAGTAGGTGTCCAGCCACCGAAGGAACCCATGGTCAGGATTAATCCATGCTTGCGCTGCTTGAGAATAGGGGCAACAATCTGAGTGACCTTTAGCGTACCCAGGCAATTGATTGTAACAATATTCTGCAGCTCGTCCTTGGGTGTCTCGAGGAAAGAGACGGGCATGCTGTGGCTCTGCCCGACATTGTTGATCAGAATAGCAACGTCGAGCCCACGAACAACCTCGGCGAGCTTCTCATAATCGGCATCGTCGTCTTTAGCGAAGTCCATGGCGTGAATCTTGATTTTAAGGTCCTTGCCATGGTATTTCTCTTGCAGCTCCTTGGCGAGCGACTCGAGCTTGGACTTGGTTCGGGAAACGAGGACGAGGTTGAAGCCCTTGGCAGCGAGCTGGGAGGCATACTCTTTACCAAGACCATCCGAGGCGCCAGTGACGACGGCCCATGATCCGACGCGGCCATACTTGCGAAGCTGCGACAACAAAAGTACGTAAGTCAGGAGACGGGAAGGTGTCAGAGCTCGGCGGGCGACTTACGCTGTGACCGGAGAAGACGAATGCACTCAGGACGAGCTGCAGATAGCTAAAGAGCTTGTATGCGAGCCAAAGTGCACCAACGCCAGCAAAGGCACCTAGCACAGGCTGGGGAATCGGGCCAAGCTGCTCGACATGCGACCTGATGCCTGCCACATAGGGATTCTCCAAGATCTTATCCATGATGAACGAATTGTCGAGGCAATGCTTGGACGGACGGCGTTGCGTCTGTGGGAATAAGCCAACGATCCGGTTAGCAGAAGCGTTGGAATGGGTCAGCGTGTCGAGATGCGAAGGGTCGCGGTTCTCAAATATCAGGTGCTCAGTACTGTGGCGCAATTGAGCGCGACAATCGTTGACCCCTTGCTGCCCTTTTTCGAGCCTAGCAACTGTACCTGGCCTAGACGCCAAAAAAGAACGCTAAGGATGAATGGAAGCCTGTTTCTAGACAAGACAAGACAGGATAAACGAGACGTGATTCTTCAAGTAGAATAATTTAATCAAGGGATAAAACTTGAGATGTAGCCATCCAAGCTGCTGAATCAGTAACAAAGAAAAAATTATTTCAACGAGTCTCTGTCTGCCCGCCTCTGCCGGCAGAGGCGCCGAGTAAAAGCATGTGCCACCGAATTTGTTGAGCTATCCTCCACTCAAATCAGTCAATCGGCTAAACTTGGCTAAACGCCATGCCAACGAGATCTAGACTTATGGATGTGCTCCGATAGAATACGCAGGTTTTGCCTCTAGTCTGATCTCTAAGCTTTCGACTTCTTCATTATACTCCCTACTGTAGCCGTAGTCATTTCTTACGTGTGATAACCTCCAGTCTGATTGATATCTTGAATAAATCACTATCCCTGGTGGGGCAGCCTGGTCAAGCTACTGGCCTCTGGTCTCCTTAACATGCGTCGTCCCGAAATTTGACTTCCCGCACCTCCAGCTTCAACACCTTGCAAAAATCCCCACCGTCATCAACAACAATCTAATTCTCTTCCAAAATTTTACTCAACAATGGACTTCGTCAAGTCACTCCTCCCAGAGGGCAAGGGTGTTCTGCCCTACTACATGCTCGTCGTACGTCCTCCTCTGCGCGAATGTAAGCACCCGAAAGACAAAGCCTAACACCCATCATCTACAGCTCTCCGTCATCTCTATTGGCAACTGCCTACAGACATACTCAACCCTCCACTTCACAAGACGCGTGTACAATGGGCGCTTCATCCGAAACACCAGGCTGCCTCCCGCAACAGCGACCTTCAACCCTGAAGACTCGGTCGACAAGCTCGTGTCTGCCCAGAATGACCCGAAAGCAACTGATCAGGTAACCCCGCTGGCTGGTCGACTGTTTGGCACATGGACCCTCATCACGTCTATTGTCCGCTGCTATGCAGCTTACAACTTGCACATCGGGCCCGTGTACAACATTGCCTACTGGACGTACATTGTGGCTTTTAGCCATTTCGCCAGCGAGAAGTTTATGTTTAAGAGCATGACCTTTGGTCTTCCTCAGGCGTTCCCCTTTGCGCTGGCGACTTGGGCCTTGATTTGGATGCCTCTTGTCCGTGATCACTATGTTGAGATCAACTAGATTCCCTTGGCAAACTCTTGTCGATGAGAGCTCATCAGACAAATTTGAGAATGGGGTGCGATATACCGAACGGCTGGATGATTAGCATGCATATCTCATGTTGCTGAAAAGGGAAAAATGGATGGGTATATATTTAATGTCTAATGTCTCATTTTACTTCAAGTTATTCCTGTACAACTGCCCGCTGCAATCTCTCAGACGAGCCGTTGCCTGTTCAGGAGTGATATCCCTCTGCGGCTCAGCCATGAGCTCATACCCAACAAGGAATTTTTTCACCGTCGCGGAACGCAGCAGGGGCGGGTAGAAGTGCATGTGAAAGTAGGAGTTCTCAATCTCTTCCTTCGTTCCCTGAAGCGGCGCCTGGTGAATTCCGGAACTGTAGGGGAAACTGCACTCAAAGAGGTTATCATACCGCCTAGTGACCTCCTGGACGGCTTCGGCAAACTGCAGCCTCTCCTCCGGCTTAAAGTCTACCAGGGAGCGGATATGCCTCTTGGGAAGGACAAGCACCTCAAATGGCCAGACCGCCCACCAGGGACATACCACTACAAACGACTTGTTTTGCCAGAGAACGCGCTCCCCCTTGGCAAGCTCCAGCTGAACATAATCCTCAAGCAAGTGTCGGCCGCCATTGTTAGCACGATATTTGGTCATCTGGGCGAGTTCCTTTCCAGGTTCCTCAGGCATGGTGGATGTCGTCCATACTTGGCAATGGGGATGTGGGTTGGAACAGCCCATAGCAGAGCCTTTGTTCTCGAAAATCTGCATGTATCGGTACTCATCTTTGGGAATGGGTGCTTCATCCTTTGGCATGGAGATTTCCAGATTTTCAGCAAGCTTTGATAATGAGTTTGAGGAGGACAAGTGGTTGGCATAAATTCGGGTCCAGTGCTCGATGACGGGCAAAATTTCTGGAGCAGGCATATCTGCTAAAGTGAGGTGGTGTTTGGGCGAGAAGGTGAGGACATAGCAGACGCCTTTGACGCTCTGGGCTCTCAGGAGCATCGACTCCAGATCTGCAGAGAGGTTAACAATACTCATGTCAAACGGATTGTGCTTTGTTATACCATTGGGTTTCGTATCAGGCTCATACTCTGGCTGTTGCTCTTTCACAGCGCTGTAATCGTTGACAAAGGCAAAAGTCTTGTCGTATTTGGGATTTGTGTCGCCCGCAGCACGAGCATTTCCAGGACAAAGATAGCACTTGACACTATGTTACCTAGAGTTTTCCCCTTTATTTGATTGAATTCACACACCTTGGGGTCATATTCGGGCAGAGTATTGGCAACTGCCGCCTCTTGAGCTCCCCTGCAAAACAACCTTTATCAGATCAACCTGCCATGTAACACAGTAGAATTCGTACATACTGCCATGGTCGCTTGGTCCGATGTGGCGAGACAAGTAGCCAGCTGTCGGTAAGAGGATTGTATCTCCGGTGGGAGATGTCGTCGAGGATCTTGTCAGGCATGATGATGATAGTGGAGTAGGCAAGGCGTTTGGGTGACGGACAACAGAAAACGAAAAGTAACAAAGCCCTCCAAAGAAAGAAACAAAGAGGGAGCGAGTATGGGACTTTAAAACGTCCACCAAACACCTACCACAACACGACAACTGATACACAACTAAGAGAATAATTAACCGCTTGAGCCACAATGTTGAATCGACTCGAAGGAATGGGACAAACAGAGTTAGGACATTGCGGTTGGCGCGCTTAATATGACGGCTGGGGCGGAGATTTTAAGTGCATCCCACCATCCGCTCCAAGTCGTCAATTTAGTCTGGCTGGGGTCAGTGACGTCGGGGAGCCAGTTCGGGCCACTCTCCCGGCGTGGCAAGACGTTTTGGATCGGGTATCTGAGGCCTCTGCCCAATTGCCAACGTTCGACTGGATCTGCTCCACGGTGCATCAGGTGGGCCGCTTGTGATTGAGTACGAGCACCCGCCACAGCAGCGTTCGTTGCAGCTGGTATCACGTGATGTTTACAGCTCGAACGCTGACTAGCACGATCCTTTGGCTGTTGCCTTGCTCCTCCTCCTCTGCAACTCAGCCCCAAGGACTGGCCTGGCGCAATTGTAGGGATCCACGTCGCATCGCGACATCCACCCAATATCCGAACCTCACTCTCGCAGCGTGCATCAAACGATTTCCATCAACGAGGCCGCACATCGAACGAAACTTATCAAAATACGCGTCTTAGCAGGAAAAGCGACACTTCATATCATCGATACTTTGTCTCTAGCGTCATAGGCGCTCTCCATCAAGCGGAATTCGCTACTGAGTCACATCCATGGTTGAAGACGGGCTCTCCGAAGAGTTTCTCGAAAGCGCTATAGCTACGGTAACAAATGGGTGTCATTCGTAAGAAGACAGTCACTAGGGGTGAGGGTGGTGTGAAATATGTTTGCGACGTTTGCTCATCAGATATCACATCTACGGTATGTAATTCCCACACCTAGTCAGCTAAGTGGCACACGTCATCACGGTTTTCCGATTTCCACAAGGTTTCCCAGCTAACACGTGTGCATTTGGTTCAAATAGGTTCGCATTAGGTGTGCAGACCAATCATGCTCCGATTTCGACTTATGCGTCTCCTGCTTCGCCAAGGGAGAGTCTCGCAATAACCATGACCCCGCGACCCATGAGTTCCGGGTAATCGAACAGAACTCGTTTCCTATTTTTGAACGTGAATGGGGGGCCGACGAAGAACTCTTGTTGTTGGAAGGCGCTGAAATATACGGCCTTGGGTCCTGGGCAGACATTGCCGACCACATCGGCGGGTTTCGCGAAAAGGACGAGGTTCGCGATCACTATCTTGAAACTTACGTCAACTCCCCGAATTTTCCTCTCCCAAAACGATGCAGACCACATGATTGCGAGCTCGCAAATGAAGTGCCCCGAGAAGAGTTTCAGGCGCAAAAGAAGCGGAGGATCGAGGAGCGGCGTGAGAAGTCCAAGAGCGCGCCAGCTTTGCAACCCAAAACCAAGCCGACTGCCAGTGTACCCAGCTGTCACGAAATCCAGGGTTTCATGCCAGGTCGTCTTGAATTCGAGACTGAGTATGCCAACGAGGCCGAAGAGGCGGTCCAGCACATGCAATTTGACCCTGGCGATGGCATAAACCCGCGCACCGGCGAACTCGAGCCGGAGATGGAGCTCAAGCTCACTGTCATGGATATCTACAATTGTCGGCTGACTCAACGTGTGGATCGCAAAAAGGTTATATTTGAACACGATTTATTAGAGTACAGGGAAAACACCAAGATTGAGAAGAAGCGATCAAAAGACGAGAAAGACATATTACAAAAAGCCAAGCCTTTTGCCAGAATAATGAATCACAAAGACTTTGAAGACTTTAATCAGGGCATTATCGATGAGCAGAACCTGCGGCAAGCTATTGCTCAGCTACAAGAATGGCGGAGCTTGAAGATCGGGGACCTAAGAAGCGGCGAGAAGTACGAAGCAGAAAAGGCTGCCCGAATACAAAAGGCCATTCCTATGGGCTCAATGGACAGGGAGAGACTCGCCACCAGCCAACGATCGAAGCAACAAGCTGCGCCCGAACCACCCAGCGGCGCGTCGCTTCTCGTTGCCCCGGAGCTCGTCATTCGTCCAGCCCAGACGAATGGCGAGACCGTCAATGGCGATGGCAAGCCGCTTGTTAACGGCCACGCTAACGGTGTCAACGGGACCAACGGTGTTAACGGTCACGCCTCGGCTAGACCAAAATACACACCACAGCCTATTTCTGGCGTGCAACCTCTTCAACTGAATCAAGATACCGCAGCGGACCTACATCTGCTGACGCCTGATGAAGCCAAGCTGTGTGAGATTGTTCGCCTACAGCCCAAGCCCTATTTAATGATCAAGGAGCAGATTCTCAAGGAGGCGCTCAAGACCAATGGGACCCTTAAGAAGAAGCAAGCTAAGGAGATTTGCCGACTCGACTCACAAAAAGGGGCCAGAATATTTGACTTTTTTATCAATGCTGGCTGGTTAGGGAAAGCATGAGCTATCAGGCCAGTCTTGGACTGCATGTTGTTGCCTTCTTGGCTACATTCTCGTAGGATTGCGAAGCGCTGTACGTTATGACATTGTTATGATCCTTGGTTGGGTGATTTGTATGATACGGGTGCATTTATGGTGTTTGGAGGAGCGTATGATATCCAATATTCAAGAAACACATATTTCAAGTCATTTCTCATTTTGACTATCAAGCTTATGGGTATCTCCAGTGCCATGTGGAGGCGTCATGGTGTGGCCCCGAGTCAACCTGCGTCTTGACACTATTGCCAGGCTGAGAACAAGAACAAGCTTGACCGCTTGTCATAAACTTGCCTGGGTAGTGAATTATATGAACCGCGGAAGCAGGGACATAATAGCCCATTGCGACGCTCCTGGATGTTTTCCCCAAACTCACTCGGAGCCCAAGTGGACCCCTGTACATTGACACTGGCTGCCGACGGCCAACTCCATCCACTCCATCTCCGACAACCCTCTTATATCTCAAACAGCAACCGCACTCTCTCTTGCGCCCAGTAGCTTGATGATATTTTCCAGATTCGCCGCCCAGCCGCCGTCACTGTCATTCATTCGTACCATGACCACGATTGCCAGTCTGCGGCGCATGTCCGCCAAGTCTCTCTCCGAGAAGATTCTGGCCGAGAAGGACGCTGCGAACACCTCTTTTGCCATCATTGACGTGCGAGATGACGGTACGTAAACCCCAAACAAGACCAGACTTACCCCGGATCCCTTCCCAGGAATGCACTATATATAATTGTACATGTCAGATATTTGGTAGTGACCCTCGTTGCAGACCACATAGGCGGCCACATTAGAGGTTCCACCAACATCCCCAGCGGCCAACTCGACGCCATGATGCCCACCCTCGTGCGCAAGCTGCAGGACAAGAAGACGGTCATTTTCCACTGCGCACTAAGTCAGCAGCGTGGCCCGAGCGCCGCCCTCAAGTATCTCCGCGAAAAGGACGGGCTGCTGAGGAGTCTTGGTGGTGGAGAGAAGGTCACTGCAGAGCAGGACGTCTATGTCTTGGACGGGGGGTTCGTCGGCTGGCAGCAGGTCTATGGAGATGATGAGCGGCTGACGGAAGGGTATGTGAAAGATATTTGGGCGAGTTACTGAGTTACCCGCGCGATATTTTTTCTTTTTTTTTTTTTTCGGCTTGTTTGTTTGTTTGTTTGGGGGGGCTCTTTGATTTCGGAGGGCCAGTCAGTTTTAGGAGGCTTGTTTCAGCTCAGAGTACGATGAAGGCCTGGAACTCAAAGGGTCATGAATGAATGACTTGTATTTCTTTGCGCGCTGTTTCAGCTTGGAGATGGCAGGGATTTTTCTATGTGTTAAGTCGTCACTCATATGGGCGTTGAAAGCAAAAGTGACGCCGGGGCCACCAGCACAAAGCGAGGGAGAAGGCTCCAAGTGTTTGATACCGGTGGCTCACTGGTGATGAAGTGGAACTTATAATCCTTTACTTCCTCGATATTTCGTTATTCACAAATGCAGAACTAAATCCTCCGATTCCGTACCTCATCATCGTCGGGACCTTTGTCCGCCGAAACAACACAGCCCGCTACACCGCAGGTAATATCCAACTGGGAAGGGGCTTTTTTTAAGTAGACGCTGACGGATATCATAGCATATACACATTCGTGTCAACACGTGCCTACGCGCAATATGTCCGTCCTTGCGATATCTCTCTCCTCCACATTTCAGGAACATGTAATACGCTCCTTTGGTTTATCATCGATATCAAAAGCGGCGAAGTTTTTGTTCATTTCGGTTGCGGTTGTCGTCGTGCTTTTAATCGTCTGCTACTGCCTGTGGAAATTTGATTTTCGGAAGAGATACTACCAATCCAAATCCGAAAAGCCGGTGCCAGTCCAGAGACCGTCTCGATCACAGACTTTGCCTCCGTCTTATGAAGAATCAGAGTCAATGCAGAGGAATTAAGGGGCGAGCACTCAAACTCGAATAGAGCGCGGCGTGCAACCTGCTCAGGAGACAAGTCTCTTGAGGTCTATGTTAAACACAAAAATAATTTACTCATGGAATGCAGCTTTTGTGCGATTGGGGCAAAGAAAATGAGATTGTCTTTGTACGCTTATTGCAGCGAGGGTTTCATGGATGCTTAGAGAGAGAGAGGCGTTTGCGGCTGTGAACCGAAGGTCTTCAATCACATATACCAATGTGGAGAAGGCGCTGAGACTTTAAAGTGTTTCGTATTCTCATGAACGAAGACAACAAAAGACTGAATCTTATATTTACCGCTTCCACTGCCACCTGTAGCGTTCATCGAACAAGCTTTTTACAATTCCCAATCTCACCTCTTTTAGACGCTTTGACTATACTTTTTTTTTTTGCTCCGATACTCAGAATCACCAGACAAGGTCCGCATATCCAACTCTGTCTTCATTGATATTTGACATGACATCTAATGCTGAACTGATAGTCAAAGTTCCCAGCCGCAAAAATGCCCCCGGTAGCGATTTCTTACCTCGCACAAATCGACCACGGTGTATCCACCATTTACCGACGCCAGTTATCAAATGACGCTCTTAATAAAATTTATTATGCCGCGGCTGTTGTCTTCTGTTGCGGTATCATACTATTTGCTTGGTTCGCTCTCTATCGTCGACGTTGATAGTCAGAAGCAGGTTGTTAGGATGTCAAATGGGAACTTTGGGTTATTGTATGCAGATGATGACAGCTTTCAAAGTTTATCGGTGTAGAAGCTATAGTATATGTTCAAGTATTTGTATTAACCTTGCCCCCCAACATACCTGCCTCACTATAAATACATGCGTGCCTCCTCGCCTGTTCCAAATATAACAGCCGGCACTACGCATAGCATATTAGCCTATCCAACGTCAGGCAAAGCTACTCTCTAAACACTCTATCATGCAGGCTGCATTGTGAACCACTTGAGCATCATTCACGTCAGATCATCTGTCAGACCTGCTCGAGAAATTGTAGCACTTCCCCTCCCCTCTTCCTCCTCTTCTTTTAACTGAAAGATTACATAAGCTGCGGCTACTTGGTCCCCCGGCAGCCCTGATGTTTTTCTTTTGTGCTCTCCTCCGTATACCTTTTGTTGTCCTGGATAGACTGCACTTTCTTTGTCGTATATTTGAACGTCTCAGCGTGTAGAGACATGCAGATGTATCAGAGGTCATGTGAAACCTATGCCTACGCAGCGCTTTTGTTGCCTGAAAACCATGCCATCTAATTAGAACACGAGGTCAACACGGTATAGAAGGAAGAAGTGGTGGAATAGTAACTATGCATTGATTCCCTGTTCAATCTGTGGTCGGAAATGAATGGTTGCCTGGTTTGAAAACATAAATTTACTTTCGTGTTCAATGCCTGTTTAAACTAAGATCCTCAATCAAGAGCTGCCTAAGTTTCACACTTTTCTCTGATCTTCCGTATTCGCAACCGACACCAGTGGTGTTCAACGGCGCTTCTTTGCGCGTTGGCAACATGTCGTCGCCAGTGCGGAAACCTCCACAGAGACGAGTGCTGAGAATGTTCAAGGGGACATGCTGCTCTAGAAACTATAAAAACCAGCTTGATTCCCATAGTCCCTCTCCAGAACCACCTTCGGCTCTGTATCTTCTCCACACCAAAGCTGTTCGGTCAAGACACTCGGTGCCGAAGTATTCCAACAATAACTACCCTCTTTACCGAACCGAATATATACGGCGTTGCAGTTCAAATCATCAGAGGTGCGAACAGAAATGACTGCTCCCGACATCGCCCACCACTATCTGATCAATCCTGACACCATGTCCGACGCCTCGTTGCCAGCCGCTCAACATCTACGAACCATCATGGCACACGCTGCAATTTTACTTGCCAGTACATTTGTCTTTCTGACTGCCCTGTTGTTTCTACGGTGGTGGGAAGACAGTCGCTGCGCCGAGAAAGAGAAACTTGCTTCTTCACGAGGACAAGCGTCATACGCTCTGCAAGGGATCACAAAGACACAGATTCTAGATCTAGGTCAGAAGCTTCAAGATTTGGGTCAGAAGCTTCAGGAGCAAGTTGAGGCTTTGCCTGAGGGTACCGCCTTGCCACCAGCTGACCTCATTGATCGCTCCCTGCGCCCAGAAACGAGCAGAGATTAGGTTGGCGGCTAGAAGATTCCTGCGCTGATCAGTTACAACGGGGCAATTTCCGTAAAGTTGCCGGTCTTTGGCGGTAGGGAGGAGGGATGTGCATTGTGACGCTACTTTCTGTTGCACTGCCAGGAGCGGAGGAACCTACGGCAGAGAAAGTTGTCATCTGTCTTCATCTTCTACCTTCATTCGATGGTCAACTCGATGGGACTGCAGATATTTGGTTGAGAGCTAGATGATGTGTATTTATGAGGAGCTTTTCTTGCGCGCTACATCTTTCGTGATGCTTTTGTCTCATGTGCTTCCGGGAACGTGTTCGATAACAGGGGAAAATAAGATTGTCTCGCAGTGTGCGATTTTGGGAATCCCCAGCTACTCGGGCCTAGAAATAGTTTAGTAGTGATACCTTCGTCCAGGTGTTTCGAGGTGTAGGGTAGGGTTATTGGCCCTTGCTGTTGAAGACTGACTGGACCACTACGGTGGCACATTAGCTAAGGTTCGCAGTTGCTGCTATAACCTCACATTCCCCACATCTAGTATTTTAAGCGATTTTAACGGTTTAAGCGGTTTAAGTAATTTAAGCTATATATATAAAGTTAATCTTTACTTTATTAATTCTTTTATATAAAGAAATTAACTATTAATTTAAAATACTATAAGAAGATATTAGCTATTAAATAATAAATAAAATATATACGTATAAGCTTATAATATTATAAGATCTTACTTAATTTTATTCTTATTTAACTTAATTAACTTATCTTAAGTTTTTAACCTTTTAATTAAATTAATTAGCTATTCTTAAGAGTTAATACTTAATCTTATACGTATATTTACTATAAGTAATCTACTTTAATCTTTATTAAAGTAAGAAGACGCGTAATTAAGCTATTTATAATTATTATACGTACTATTAAAATAGCCTAATAATTATACGTAGCCTAATAATTATATGTAAATAAAAAATAAAGAGGTAAATTTATTTATATTTTAAGCTATTTACTTATAATAGTAATTATAAGAATTCTTATATATAATACCTTTTAAGTAAATTAAAAAGATATTAATATATAAGAGCCTTTTACTCTTAATTTACTTAAGTTTAACACGATTTTTAAGAAATTATACGTCTTACCTAAAAAGCTTAAGAATAACGCGTTACTCTTATAAAAAAGCGTATAATTTAAGACTATTCTTACTTATATAAGCTAAAAGTAGCTAAGGTATATATAAGGTGGTTAGGGAACCCCGCCTACCTATAACGCGATTAATAACGTTACATGAAATAGAGGCTTTAAGACTATATTCTCTATATCTTATATAACTAGAAAATAAGATAAGCTTTAATTATTATAATATAATTACCTTTACTTTAATTACTTAACTTTTAATCTCTCTTATAATCTTATAATTTTTAAAGCTTTTTAAAAGATTATTTAGATTAAGCTATTTATAATTATTATACGTACTATTAAAATAGCCTAATAATTATACGTAAATAAGAAATAAAGATGCGAATTTATTTATATTTTAAGCTATTTACCTATAATAGTAATTATAAGAATCCCTATATATAATACCTTTTAAGTAAATTAAGAAGGTATTAATATACGAGAGCCTTTTACTTTTAATTTACTTAAGTTTAATATAATTTCTAAGAAATTATACGTTTTATTTAAAAAGCTTAAGAATAGCGCGTTACTCTTATAAAAAAGCGTATAATTTAAGACTATTCCCGCTTATATAAGCTAAAAGTAATTAAGGTATATTAAAAATAACACGTATAAGACTCTAATAGAATTATTAGTTATTATAATAATAGCCTTATTAAGTTATTTATACGTATAAGGTTTCTTATTATATTAAAGCTATAATAAGAATAGTTTTATTATTATTAGTTATATTACTTATTCTTAGCTTTATAAATATAATAAATATTAATAAATACGTATAAAAATATATTTTTTTATTTTATAAATATTAATTATATAATAATAAAAAAAAGAGAGGCTG